TTTTGTGTTTGAATCTTTGGTGAATTGATCACTCCCTTAGGTTTAGGCAAGTTTTTGTTTCGATTAGCCTAAAGAATTATCCCTTGTTTGTTCATCCGACCACGTTACAACCTTGAAAAGTCCGGGTGATTCTTGCTTTTGTGTTTTCAATTTAATTTTTGGATGACGGTATAATTTAGTATTTTGTTTGCAAGATTGTGGGTGGGTGAAAATACCCCATTTTTGTGTATTTTTCATCTACCGATGATTGTGTTTGCTAGGTGTGATTCATTTGTGAACTAGTATTGTTTTAGAATGTTTGGCATAATTTTTGTATTTAGTATTTGTTTTGTGTTTATGTTATAGTCATAGTTTAGTGGTAAGTGTTTACTTTGTGTCTACTAATTTTCATTTGAACCATTGCATTTGTTTTCGGTTTTCAAAAACCTGTTGTTTCGTGACTCTTTGATTATCATTCTTTGTTTTTTTGGGTTATTTGACTTTGTTTAAGGACAAATAATGATTCAAGTTGGGGAGAGTTTGATAAGTACAAAAGTATAGTTATTCTGTATATACTTTTTTGTTGCACTTATCGACTATTTATTATAAATATCAGTTGAATAATTCCCCACTTTTTGTATAATTATGTATAAATTGTATTGAATCAAATTTTTGTGTGTTTGTGTACTGTTTGATAGTTTCCCATTCATTTTATAGGTATTGATGCGTATTTGGAGCATGAGCAATAAAGTGTCGAAGACACAACTTCAAACGCGTGATTTTGAACAACTCATCAATGAATAATACTTGAAATAAAAGAATAAAAAATCTTCAATTTGGTTGATATTTTGTCATTGTTAGAAAGAACATTGAATAAGTTTTCTAACGCTTCAAACTGAGCGCAAATCGGAGTTACGGTTCTCAAGTTATGGCTGAAACAATGCAAAATGTTCTGCTGTTTCTTCTGGTGTATTTCGCCCGACAAAACTGGCAGGACAAAAATACGTTAAAAAGGGTAAAAACATATTTTTTAGGTTATGTTTGGGTATTTTTGATTCTAACTCATCAAACCTTCAATTTTTGGTAGAGAGAGCTTAGAAAACAACTTCAGAGCTTGCATACGGATGATCCGGGGTGGATTGATCATCAATTGACGCTGACAAATCAGGATATTTTTGGTTCATTTCTCTTCCTCATTGTGTATTTATCTTTGGTTGGATTTTGTATATGATTTTACTTTGAACTCATATATATATATATATATATATATATATATATATATATATATATATATATATATATATATATATATATTTGTTTCTCATGGCATTATATTTAATTTGCTTTACAAATCTGTGTCAATTGTTATCTTAGATTTTTGCTTTGTGCTCGGGATTTAGGTTGTTATAGATATATACTGCTCAAATCCTTATCTAGGATGATTATGTGTTAGTTTCTGGATCCTAGAGATAGATTTAGAGCTAACAATCTTTATGGGTGTCGAAGCTTAATGCTTCTGTGTTGGTTGTCGGTTGTGAGATCGTCGATACGAGTAATATGGATGTCTGATGTATTATTGAGGTTGGATGAGAAATCATCGCCGAGATGATATAGTAGTTCTCTCTACTTTGAGTTAGAAATAACTTAGGGAGTGAGCGATGCTAGATGACTCTAAGGAGTATTATAGGTTGAGTGTAACTGGTCGATAAGTTTAAGTTTGTGAGAAGTAGATTATATGCATGCTTGATAAATTTCTTCTCTCTAGAGAATGAATTCTTTCTTGTTCATATTTACTTTTATGTTTTTATGTTTTACCAATTCAATCCAAACTCATTAACGAGAGATTTATCGAACGAAGATTCAATAACTAATCTCTGTGGACACAATACGATATAACCTATATCACCTGGTAAATTAATAACTTACTTTTTGCTTGCCGCTATACCGCTGCAACAAGGTTCGAACCCATGGAAGCTTGAAGATATCACCACGGTGTTCTCATCAACCGTTATTATACCCTTAAAATTTTCAATTAAAAAATATTAGGGCATGAGTTTAGAAGTGTCACCATGGTGTTTGAAAGAACCATGGTGACTTTCGCGTTATTGTATGCGGGTTTTGTAGTAGTGCTTTTTATTTTCCACTACTAAGTTTTCAAAAATGTTTTTAAACTCTGATTTTATTTCCTAGAGATTTTCAAAATCACATTTTTTTTCTTCTAAATCACACGATTCACCCCTTCTTGAGTATGGAGTCTAAAGTCCAACATATTTTTCATTAGGCATTTCTCTATGAGCAACACACATTGTGAGAGGCATGCCACATATTCACCTAAAATCTTAAGGTGACATGTGTGTGGGTCTCTGACTTATAAAGTGCTCAATCTCCACTTTTTTAATCAATGTGAGACTTTTCCATACTTTGTTTTTCAACACTTCTAACTCACACTTGTTTTTCTCAACACTTTCTCTTAATGCGAGTCTATCCACAATGCTTCTTGTCAAGTGGAAACTTTTTCATCACATATACTTGTACTTCCATTAACACTTTTTCAACGGGGCATGCTTCATATCCACCACCACGTGGGGAGGATTTTTTGATACAAGTAAGTCGATCCTTCACTCGAACCAACGACTCATGATACCACTATTGGGTCATTAATTTTTGGGGTCAACACGAGTGAGTAACATTTTTATATTGGGGCTATTTTATGAGCAACACATATTGTGAGAGACACATCATATACTCACCAAAACCTTAAGGTGATATGTGTGTGAGTTTGCTCACTTATAAATACTCAATTCTCCATTTATCTAATCAATGTGTGACTTCTCCGCACTTTATTTCGCAACATTTCCAACTCACACTTATTGTTCTCAACATCTCCTCAAGTGTGAGTCCATTCACAATGTCCCTCCTCAAGGGAAAACTTTTTCATCCATATACACTTGTATTAGGGGTGTTCAAATCCAAACCAATCCAAATAAAAAACCGAAAATCGATCCAAAAAACCGAAAATTATAAAAAACCGAAAGTTATTGGTTGTGTTTGGATGTTATTTTATGAAAACCGATCGGTTCGGATTGGATTTCGGATGAATTTTTCAAAACCGATTCAAACCAAATCGAACCGCATAAATATATTTTGATACTTATTTACTTTTTATTAGTATGACATGTTATGTGAATTTATTATTAGATGATAATAATTTTTTTAATAATATTTATTAGTTTGGTATAATCTATTTATTTTTATTATTTCAAGCATAATCAATCACTCTCATTTTGTAATATTAACTTTTAATATACTATATGTTATATATTATATCAAATATATGATTTATTAGTAGTTTTATAATATTAATAAAAATATAATGTGTAATTTGGATATCCAAAAATCGATCCAAATTAAACCGCATAAAATTAGATCGGATCAGATTGGATTTTTTTAAATATATCATCCAAAACCGAACCGAACCTTAAGTGAATTAATCTTTGGATCATATGAGTTTTTGCTTTAAAACCGATCCAAACCGAACCACGAACACCCCTAACTTGTATCACCATTGACATTTTTTCAACAAGACAATGCCTCATACCCACAACCATTTGTGGGAACTTTTGATACAAGTGAGTTGGTCCTTCACTCGAACCAAACTTTGATATCACTGCTGGGTCATTAATTTGGACTCAACAAGATGATACATTTTTACATTGAAGCCTTTCTTTACGAGCAACACACCTTTTGAGAAATACACCACATACTCACACAAAGTCTTAAGGTGATATGTGTAAAGGCTCTCCCACATATAATTGCTTAATCTCCACTTTTCTAATCAACTTGAAACTGTCCTGTACTTATTTCTAAACACTTCCAACTCATACCTATTTTTTTCTCAACAAAAAATTGAATTATACGTCATTTGACACATCAATCAAATGGAAATGTCTGACGTGATACATTTTAGAAAATTAAGAAAGTAAAATGACATTTTTTTTAAATTAAAGGATAAAAATAAACCTAAAAATTATAAGATAAAAGACATAAAGGATATTAAATCTTTAATTCTTTAAATTTTTTTTTTATTTCCTTGCAACATTCTCTAATCTAAACATAGTCGTAGTGTTACAAAATTAATTAGTTAAGTTATTTTTATAACAACCTAACATATAGAGACTCACATATTCAAGTGAACCATTCAATTCAATAATAAAAAAACAATCAACTCATATTTTAATTAAATTTATTCAAATTTAAATCCTATCTAACTAATCTATTCAAATGAATTGGTTTTATTTGAATAGAATATTATTGATATTAAACTTTTAAAACTGGACAATCATTTAATATCATATTGGTTTGATTGGAGATTTAAAAAAATATTGAGTGAATAGTAATTTGGGTGAAAATCATCCTAATCCAACACAAGAATATCCTTAATTATATTTGAGACTCATAAAAAATGATCTTTTATGAGATTTATTAAAATTAAAATGACACGACATTTTCTAATTTAAGATATACAATAATCTTTCTGTTATAGTCTCTTTATTTTTTAGGGTGTTTGAATTGATGAAATTGAATAGAATGAGAGGTAAAAAAAAGAAAGAAAATTTCCATGTCGAAACGACAGCGTAAGAAGAGGTTTGAGTTGTCCGAGTTCTCGTAAAGTGAGAGTATAAGATAGTAGGTGTAAAGGCAAATCAATCCCGCGTCCTGGCCCTTCCTCTCCCAGCTCTGTGTTCTACCTTATTTTTTTCCTTTAACCATTTTACCATTTTTTAAATTATTATTATTATAATATACACCTTTGTTTTGATAGGTTTGGAATCGTTTTTATCCAAAATTTGGCAGAGCTTCGAGGGTTAGGAGGTGTGGATTGAGTCTTGTTCTGCGTTTCGATCAATCCTTTCCGATAGATTTAGGGTTTCATAGTTTCGATCAATCATTTCCTATTGATTTAGGGTTTCATAGTTTCTTTCTTTATCAATACCAAGACCATAGCATAACAGATTTAAGAAATGGAAAAGAAAAAAGCGACGGTACCTCTTGTTTGTCACGGTCACTCTCGTCCAGTTGTTGATCTCTTTTACAGTCCTGTTACTCCCGATGGTTTCTTCCTTATTAGCGCAAGCAAAGGTATGAATTCTTGATTTCATTTTTTTTTATGGATCTGATTTTCATATGGTGGAATACCAAAGATCATTTTTAGCCTCTCATGTTTTTCCTCCTCGTGTCAATAGATGCTAGCCCTATGCTCAGGAATGGAGAGACTGGAGATTGGATTGGAACTTTTGAAGGCCACAAAGGTGCTGTTTGGAGTTGCTGTTTGGATGCTAATGCTTTGCGGGCTGCTACTGCTTCTGCTGATTTCTCAACGTAACTAATCTTTTTCTTTTCTTTTCTTTTTCGCTATGTTTCTTTAATGAGATATTGCTTATTCCATATTCAACATAGATATATAGATAGGATACATCCCATTTACTTGCGTTTATGTACAAGTGCTTGTGCATCAAAGTTTTATGGTTCTACATATAATTGCATTGATTCCTGCCAAATAGGATGTAGACTGTTTGGTAACCTAAAACATCTAAAAGTGCATGAATATGTGAGTTAGACTACAAACTTAACAATTTAGCATGTGAATGTAATAAATATATTTTCTTAAACCAAAATGCATTCCACTCATTTAGTTGATTCAAATGTGAAAATTGGTGTAATTAATCAATCCTGTTTTTTATTATGAATTCCAATCCAAAATCAATTTAATTTTTTTAATCATGCATTCAGAAAATGTGTTCCACTCTTTAATGGTTTCAAATCATTTGTGTTTCAGTTAAAGCTTTCATTTTTACTCTAAGTCATTCTTGCGACATCTTCTGTTTCACTAGCATTTTTTTTGCCACAGCTGCTTCACAGTACATTCTGCCATTATATACTCTTGCATTATTCTTTTGGCACCATCTCTTGTATGCTTTGAATTTGACATTGCTACTTGCTTAATTTTACACATCATATCAAAAAGTAATTGTAGTTTGCTAAATATTAACTCATCATATCCTTTGATTTTATGCAGCAAAGTTTGGGACGCATTAACTGGAGACGAGTTACATTCTTTTGAGCATAAGCACATTGTTAGAGCATGTGCTTTTTCTGAGGTAGTATTGACGCTTGTGGTACCCTGTCATAGTTCACTTTATTGATTTTTGTCTTTATTCATTTTGGTTGATGGGATAAAGTTACTGATTACAAAAACACAATATACTTTTTTATGGTTACATCACTCTGGCCTTCTCGGTTTTTTAATACTTTTGTGTAGATTCTTTGAGTGTATGTGATAGCTCTAGAAGTTCTCTTTGCAATTTTCAATTTCTTCCTCTACTTTGCTTTCTCTATCAAATTTTCTCAGCAAGTTTTTAATTATGAGCTATTCCAAGTACAAAATAAGCAATTTCTAGTATAGATTTAGATAATTGATGATGCAATATAGATTCTGTTCAAATTTGGATGCCACAATGTTGCTTGTTCTTTATCCGAGACTGGTCGACAAACACCTCTTTGTTCATATGAATTGATGGCAGGATACTCACCTTTTGCTCACTGGGGGAGCCGAGAAAATTCTCCGAATTTATGATCTAAATCGACCTGATGCACCACCCAAAGAAGTCGATAAATCCCCTGGTTCAGTCAGGAGTGTTGCATGGCTTCATAGTGACCAGACAATTTTGAGTTCATGCACTGATATGGGAGGTGTCAGGTATAAGCTTATTTAGCCATTCAATGACATTTGTCCGTGGATATGGTTTTTGTATATAAGCGTGCTTATTTTTATTTTTAAATTTTTGGTGTTAACAAGAAGCTTGGATTCTATATTGTACTGAATCTAATTCATGATTCACAGGCTATGGGATGTAAGAACTGGTAAGATAGTCCAAACACTTGACACCAAGTCACCTATGACTAGTGCTGAAGTGAGTCAGGATGGTCGTTATATTACAACAGCCGATGGTTCTACTGTCAAGTTTTGGGATGCAAATCAGTAAGTAGCAAAAAGCTTTAGTTGGTCAGTTTCTTTTTTGATATTCTGCCTTTTGGTTCACAGTATCTATCACCTGTGATTTTCAGCTATGGATTGGTGAAGAGCTATGATATGCCGTGCACTGTGGAATCAGCTTCATTGGAGCCCAAGTTTGGGAACAAGTTTGTTGCTGGGGGAGAAGACTTGTGGGTTCATGTTTTTGATTTCCATACTGGCAATGAGATTGGTAAGTCATTAAACATTAAGTTGCATTTATATGATCAAATTTAGGCTGAAATAACACTTAACTCATGTAGTAGCATGCACCGATTTTGACTTTTGTCACTACAAATCATTCCAGCCGGTTTGAGTCCCTGAAAAAAAAATTGTTTTGGTCCTTGATGTTTTAGTTTCAGGTGAGTAGTCCCTAGAGCAGGGACTAAATGTATTCCAGACATAAAAATGTTTTAGGACCTAAAACCAAAACAATACAGACCAGATTATACTTCCTGTGTCAGGGATTTAAACCAACAATGATATAATACTTAAACGGGACTAAAGTATATATTTTTCACTTCTGCCTGAAATCTTTTGATCACCTAACTGATTTTTTAGTTTGTTTAAGTTTGATGTGTGGTATTTTGATAAATCTTGTGATGTTCTATCTGTTGATGGCAGCATGTAACAAAGGCCATCATGGTCCTGTACACTGTGTCCGTTTCTCTCCTGGAGGAGAATCATATGCATCAGGATCTGAGGATGGAACCATCAGAATATGGCAAACAGGCCCATTGACTCCTGGTGAATTAGAGGGTTTATCACCAAATGGATCCTTAGAAAGGGAGAAGGCAAATGCAGAGGAGGATGTTTCTCGCAGAATTGAGGGTTTTCATATTACAGATGAGAAGTCCAAGGGAAAGGAAGAGGCGGGGGATGAGTTATGATACTAATAATAATTGCACCCTTTTGCCTGCATTGTTTTACAATTTTAGCATGTTATCTGAACCGTGGGCCTTCTGATATACATGATTAGTATACACTAAATTTTGTAAGTTTTAGCTGTATTGAACATTGGATAAAGGATAGTTAAGTTTTGTTCGTTTTAATTTCAGGGAGTTTGATGAGCTGGAAATAGCTTTATATTGTTCTAAGATAAATAAGTAATGACCAATGAGATTTGAAACATAATGGAACACCGAGTAAAACAAAAATAGTATTAAGGGAATAGAAAAGTGTCTCTGAAGAAATGTTAATGTGCACTTTAGGATTCATTGACTTAATGAGATTTGATAAGTTCAGTGGCTAATGTAGCTCTATCGTGACTTTTCCATATCTCGTGCAATGTTGAGTGATTTCTTTGTAAAAATATCCCTTCTTTCCGTATCGGAAAGAAGACTTCCTATAACTGACATTTCATCAAGTTTGTTACCTTGTGCCAATTGTGTGCCAATGAGAGGGGAAGTTTGTTATCTCGTGCAATGTTGGGGAAGTTTGTTACCTTTGCCTCCAGCTATTTTTTGCCTTCCAGTCGCTGTGCCTTGTCGCCAAGATATTTTGTCTCTCCCTCCTAGCTTGGCTGTCCCACTCTTCACACCACCTCTTTTCCCATTCATATTTGTAGTACAATAACTCATGATATTATCTTTCATGCTGCTATATTTGTTGAAGATTCATGTAGTACTTGCATTTCCATTTCTTCTACCCCTTGACCTTTAAATAAATGTAACGGAAATGAGTATTTCATTCGTCTCCCACCCCTTGACATTTTGAAAAATATGTCCATTTGTGTCGTGATGAGCATAAGGATTATGTAATTTAGTTTGACGATGAACATCTTGTGTTATAGAATATTCATGTTTGATGCTTGTGCACGAATAAATCATATTGAAGTTTATCTCAAGAATGTTTGATAAAAGCGAACTAAGTTGGGGTAAAATTGAGTTCTGTTTTCTTTTCTGAAGAGATCTTATATTTAAGAGGAAATATTATATTGAATTAAGAGAAGAACAATTATGTGTATATTCCTTAGAGGATTTTCATTATATATAGAAAAAAGTCACAAAGAGTTGTCCTCGTTAAGATTAAGAGGAAGGGTGTCTGCGGACCGGTTTGATTTGATTTTAAGAGAATTTAATATTCAAACTGATCAAAAATATATGGATTGATTTGAATTGAATTTATATATTTTTGCGATAAATACGTAAAAATATTTATAAAAAATAATTTATTTGTACCAAATAATTTTTTTATCATAATATAAAATTTACATAAGTAGACTAGCAATTTTTTCATAGCTTATTCAAAAACATCTAACAAGAAAAATATCTAACAAACTTTTTAGTCTGCAATTAATCAATTGTCAGAATATATGTGCTTATAAAAATAATAGGATAATTGAAATTAGATTTCCTTAAATGTAAAATTCATAATTTTTTTTCTCCTCATAGGGTGTGAACAACATTAACGAAAATTCATATTAGTTTTCATGATGATGACATGAGTAATGCATGATTAGTTCGGATAGACGAATTTGCAAGTAGAATATTAGAAATCCATCACCACAACATCTTTAGTCTCAATCACCTTCTTCAACATGGAGGCATATCGAGGAACCACAACATCTACAAACACAAACATACCCATTTACACCATAGCAGAATGGTTCGTTGGAGGTGGAGAATTCATCTCTTCTCGCTAAAATTATGTTCGACAGGCTTTGATGGCGGATGGCATACGACCGACCCTAAACCAAACTTTGAAGAGGGACTAGAATTTGAAATCACCTTTTCTAGCAGAGATGCGACCAACATCCACCCTCATAAACAATAATCTCATAGTCATACAAATGCAATGTGATAATAGGGATATAAAGCGGTTGTTGGTTAACCTCAAAAGGTCAGTAAGTGTTATATTTTGGGACGCATTCGAGAAACTTCAACTAGATTTAGATGACATCCATACCTTTTAAGGCTCTCTGGTTAGGCTCTCCGGCGAGCACACAAAGGCAAAGGACCACATAATGCTCAAAACAACATTTGGACTTGACAAGAGCACAAAAATAATCAATCTAAATTAATTTATAGTAGACACCCCTTCGCCATATAACATAATTACGGGGGGCATACTTCCCTTAACCTGCTAGGGGCCACTTTCTCAACCTTGCATTTGAACATGAAATATCTGCTATCCAACAAAGGGTTGAGGTAGTTCAGGGAGATCAAGCAACCACCCAAGAAAGGTACCAGAGCAGTCTCAATGAAGGGATGCATTTTGGAAATTTAGATAATAGAATAGAGACAAAGAAGGAAAGGCTACCTTCCACAAAGGATCTAAATGAGGTCTAGATTGGACCACAAGATTTTTAAGTAATCAAATTGGGCACCTCTCTATCTGAAGAAGAAGATGTGTTGGTCACTGTTGTACCCCAAAATTTTCCCTACCTTTTCTCAAGACATTTCTCACCAAAGATTTCAAATGCCCAAGGATTCTCAAGGTTTGATCAAACAAGTTCACCTCCTAAGCACTGAGACCACAAATTAGGGTTTTGGTTTTCTCAAGGACAATTGGACTTTTGATGCCTCAAATGAATTTCATGGTTCATTATAGGTCTCCAGGAATGCATGCCCAGTTTCAAATCTTACATTACAAATTGCTCAGATGACTGAAAATCAGCTCTATTGAGTAAAAAGCCAACTGATACACAAAAAGTCAAACTTTGACTTTTTAGTTAATATTAAATTTCAAAGATCAAAATTCATCAAGACATTCAAAAATATCAAACTTGATCATCAAGAATCAAGAAAGTCAACAAAAAGTCAAGATTTCAAAGACTTAGAAAAATTCTAAGTGTTTTCATCCTTGATAATTTCATTACTTCATGACATTTTTTCACCAAGATGCAAGATGGTTCAAAGAAAACTTTCAACGAGAAAATTGTAGATCTTGATGAATTCTACAACTTTGTATTAGAGGGTTGATGTCCAAAAAAATGCTTAGATTTGAAGATATAAACCCATGAAGTCATGACATTTTTATCTAACACTTAGAGAAATTTTCAACAGGTTTTGGTCAGTTTTTATCTCAACTTCTTGGCCAATTTTCACCCATCTCCTTATTGATTTAGCCAAAATGATCAACATGAAAGTTATAAACAATGTTTCAAGCTTTCCAAAATGTCCAAGAGCACAAATTTATCATGCTTGAGCTAGGAGATTTGAAGAGATGAAGTTGGGTATCCATACCACAAGTTATTTTGTGATGAACATGAGATCAAATCTTCATGCCATGCTGCATAATCCCATTTTGCAGGCCTCTAAACCTTCAAATCTATCCATAATCAGAAGATTACACATACTTTTGAGCCATTACCCAAGTGTTTGAGCCATTGTCCAAATGATCTTTCCATTTATGGCACAAAAGCACCATTGCCATTTACATAAAGCATGCTTTAATCACAATGTCAACTCCTTGAGCCTCTCAATGGTTTCTTCTGCATATACACAATGTCATAGCAAGAAGAAACCATCTGCAACATGCAAAGCACCCCTAAAATCAGGTCATGAACCCCCACTCACAATCCAACCAAGCCATAACTCCATAACTCCATAATTTGTAAACCTGATCAGCTCTTGTCATCAAACCTCTTGCCTATAAATAGAGGGAGCATTTGCAAGAAAAAAGGAGGGAAAAGAGAAAGAAAAGAAAAAGGAAGAGAGGAAACACAAGTGCACAAGCCCTCAAAACCCCTTATACTCTCAAAAACCAGAATTGTTCACAAAACCTCTGTTTTTGAGCTTTGAAATCCAAATCTTTGAACCTCTCAAACCTTGCAAGTTTTGTCTAAACAAATCATCCAAATACTTCACATACATCATATAGAAGTTGTCCAAACACAAGAAAAACTTCTGTAACATCATTATCACCATCTTCCAAACTCAAAAAAATAATATCTTGCAACTTGACTTGGTTAAGGTGATTCTACAACTTTCAGCATAAAGTAAGGATTGTCATAGCTTCAAGAAGGTCCAAGGGAGCTTAATCAATCATAATATTGCACCTGGAACAACTAGAAGAAACTTCAGACTTTTCTCCAAAAGAGGTAAGTTTTCTCAAACTATGATATCCTTATCCATTCATCATTTGCTTTCATTTTTTTTCAAAAGAATAAAACAGGACAGATTGAGGAAGTGAAAATATTCAAAATCCCAGAAAAATGCTTTAGGAGCCCTGACACGGGTGACCGTGTCACCTGACACGGTCCGTGTCAGGGAGAAGAGATGGCAAAAGGGAAAGACAGGAGCTGACACGGGTGCCCGTGTCACACGACACGCCCGATGTCAACACAACTGGGGACTGAAAGCGTGCAAAAGGGCAAGGCAGGGGCTGACACGGGTGCCCGTGTCACATGACACAGTGTTAGCTCCTAAATTCACCACCACAACAAATTGACCTTATGGGCCAAAAATGGATTGAACAAATCTAAGCTGGAAATACTTCAACAGATTAGAAAAACACTTAGAGAAATTTCTAAGTTAAAATGAATCTTCGACCAAAAGGTTCTTACATCCTTCGACTGAAAGGGTTCTAGGGCCTTCGACTAGAAGGAAACCTCGTATCAGTAATAGGTGATTTTGAATATGAAGAAAGGAGGGAAAAGAAGTTCACTTAGCAGTTGAGAAAAGTAACGTGGCATGAAGATTGAGGCTGAAGCACATGCAGAGGACACTTGTCCTCATCCTAGAGCAAGGCAACTCCTCGACGATTACCTAGTTTTAGTATAAATATAGGAAGTTTATGTAGATTTCCGTGTGTTCAACTGATCGTACAAGTTATTCAATACTATTCAAGTACCCGCTGCGTGAGAAAGAATACTGAAAATGTATGTTTGAAACACCAAATTTTATAATCAAAGTCTTTTACTTTTCTCTTTACATTTCTTGCCTTT